TTGTTGTCCAATATCTATCTCTCCTCCTGAAAGGCACTGCAGTTTTTATGTACAGGAATCACTCTTCTCTTACTTTCAGAACATGAAGTGTTGGGAGGTCACCCAAGCCTAAGCCTATTAATGCTTTTTGACCCTTTCGGCACAGTGATTTTTCAAGAATGGGTCTGTGGCTCAGACCCAGACTTGGGCCTCTGGAAGAGCGTAAATCCTTTGACCCACAGGGGAGTGACCCACACAGATGTGTGCTCTGTGGGTGCAAGAGAGGACACTGTGTAGAATATGAGAAAAGAGCAGCCCTGGAGGCAACTGAATGTTAACATCAGCCAGAAACTAGGTTATTGATGACCTCTCTGAGAGTCACTGAGTCAAGCCTTGCGTGAACCTGGATTTTCCCATAATTTCAGTTAATAAGTTCACTGTATAGTTGAAGCCAGCTGGAAATAGGTTTTCTGTCATTGGCAGCATAATAAAGTACTGGGTCTTTGGTAAGACAATTTTGTTGGCATATGAGCACATCAAAATCAGTAGAACACACCATAGTCATGCTGTGAGAGGCAGTCAATAGCAAAGGAGAAATTTATTTAGCTTTGTAAATATATTACCTGGGATCTTGGTGGTCTGACGTAGCCCTCTTAGTGACGGAACCTGGTGAGGGGGGCAAAAGTGTTGAAAGTTGGCTTAAGCTAGGTCCAGCGGCTCACACCTATAATCCCAGCACTTTGGGAGGCTGAGATGGGCAGATCCCTTGATCCCAGGAGTTCAAGATCAGTTTGGGCAACATAGTAAGATTCCCATCTCTACAAAAAAAATAGAAATAAATTAGCCAGGGCCAAGGATGGTGGCTCACACGTGTAATCCCAGCACTTTGGGAGGCTGAGGCCGGCAGATCACTTGAGCTCAGGAGTTTGAGACAAGATTGACTGACAACATGGTGAAACCCCATGTTTAAAAACAAACAAACAAAAAATCAGCCAGACATGATGACACGTGCCTGTAGTCCCAGCTACCCAGGAGGCTGAGGTGGGAGAACCACTTGAGCCTGGCAAGCAGAGGCTGCAGAGAGCCGTGATTGTGTCATTGCACTTCAGCCTGGGTGACAGAGTGAGACACTGTCCCAAATAAAAAAATTAAAAAGAAAAGTCAAGTTAATTTGACGCAAATGAGAGGACTTAAGACCACAAAAATAAAAGTGCTTCCATTTGAGGTATGGCCCATGAGCTGGTGGGTGATTTAATTAAGAATGTAAATAAATGTTTTGTACCTTCTCCTGGGTCCCATGTATGTTCATGATGTTCATGGTTTTCCAGGAGTGAAACCTTTTTTTCTGGTTATGTACCCATGGGATGTACTGATATTAACAAGGAGTTACATGTTTGTGTGTATGTAGGGGTATATAGAAAAACATCTGAAAGGCCAGGCACGGTGGCTGATGCCTGTAATCCTAACACTTTGGGAGGCTAAGGTGGGCGTATCACCCTAGGTCAGGAGTTTGAGATCAGCCTGACCAACATAGTGAAACCCTGTCTCTAATAAATGCAAAAAATTAGTCAGGCATGGTGGTGCATGCCTGTAATCCCAGCTACTTGGGAAGCTGAGGTAGGAGAATCACTTGAACCGGAGGTGGAGGTTGCAGTGAGCTGAGATCACACCACTGCACTGCAGCCTGTGCAACAAGAGGGAAAACTCCGTCTCAAAAAAAAAAAAAAAAAAAAAAAAATCCATCTGAGAAAGGATTCCTTATGTTGAAAGTGGCTATTTCAAGGTACTGGAATTATGGCATTTGTTTTATTTATTTCTTCTTTAATTCGTAGTTTCCAAAATTTTCTACAGTTAATGTGACATACAATTTTTTAAAAAGGTTTTTAAAGTACTATACAAACACACAAGGTGACAATACTCTGCATGGGAAGTTACATGCCTAGTTACAATCTGGAAGTCAGAACAACTAGCTCACAATTGCTTAATTTAACCTCTTACTTTTTTATTTTTTTATTTTTTATTTTTAGAGACAGGGTTTCACCGTATTGTCCAGACTGGTCTCGAACTTCTGACCTCAGATGATCCACCTGCCTCGGCCTCCCAAAGTGCTGGGATTATAGGCACGAGCCACCGTGCCCAGCCAACCTCTTACTTTTAATATGCAACCTCACCTTCTTCCTTTGCAAAATTTTGAACTAATCTCAGGTCTATGTAGTGTAACCAAGATGTAATTTAACTAAGTTAATTATCAACCCAAATTAAGTACATATAGGGTCCCCACCTTAAGTGGTTATTGTGGTTACTCCCCAATATCTACTCCACTGCACTTCCCAATTGTGTAGGGAAGATCCTATTGGCCTGAGATTTTCCAGGTACTGCCATCTAAATCACCCAGGTTTTTCTGTCTCCTGATCTGGTTCTAACTTCCACTTTATGAATTTTGTCAAGTAGCCCTTTAGTTATCTATAAAGGTGTAACTCTAATTTTGCATAATTAGAGTTACACTCTGTGCACACTGTGCCTGACCCAGTGTGTTCATCTGATGGAATCTACATAGTTGTAATAAAGAATAAGTAATAAAGAAGGCTGGGTGCAATGGCTCATGCCTGTAATCCCAGCACTTTGGGAGGCCAAGGTGGGCAGATCACCTGAGGTTGGGAATTCGAGACCAGCCTGACCAACATGGAGAAACCCTGTCTCTACTAAAAATACAAAATTAGCTAGGCGTGGTGGCTCACAGCTGTAATCCCAGATACTTGGGGGGCTGAGGCAGGAGAATGGCTTGAACCTGGGAGGCAGAGGTTGTGGTGAGCTGAGATTGCACCATTGCACTCCAGCCTGGGCAACTAGAGCGAAATTCTGTCTAAAAAAAAGAAGAAGAAGAAGAATGAGGACATTCTACGTGAGCTGAAACAAAAGATTTTAAGCGGGGTGCTGTGGCTCATGCCTGTAATCCCAGCACTTTGGGAGGCTGAGGTAGGCATATCACTTGAGGTTAGGAGTTTGAGATCAGCCTGGCCAACATGGCAAAACCCCATCTCTACTAAAAATACAAAAATCAGCAGGGCATTGTAGCTTGTGCCTGTAATTCCAGCTACTCAGGAGGCTGAGGCAGGAGAATCACTTGAATACGGGAGGCAGAGTTTGCAGTAAGCTGAGATCACACCATTGCACTCCAGTTTGGGTGACCAAGTAAGACTTTGTCTCAAAAAAAAAAAAAGATTTAAAAAACACATTTAAAAAAGAAAGTTGCAGGCTGTGGAGCAACCAGACAATTGTAATGAAATGTGACGCACAGGGCACCAGCTGTGACTTTTTTTGCCAAAAAGTCAAACCAGGTTCCAACTAAACCTCTAGAGCAAAGTTTCATTTGCAGGAAATTCAAAGAAAAGAGGAATAATGTAAATGGCCCCGCAGGGAAACAGACAAAGCCTGAATGTGGAGCATTTCACAGGACAAAACTAGTTTGTATAACCAGTCAATGGCAAGGGGGTAAAGGGAAGACTGTCTTCCATTAAAAGAGAATTGAGAGACACAGCAATCAAATGCAATGCAAGGACTTGTTTGGGTCTAGATTTAAACAAAATGACTGAAAAAAGACATTTTTGAGATAATCAGGGAGATCTGGTTATAAACTGAAGTACTAGGTGTTGCTAAGGCATCATCACATTTTTTATGTGTAGCCAGGTGCTGTGGCTCACGCCTATAATCCCAACACTTTGAGGGGCTGACGTGAGCAGATTATCTGAGGTCAGGAGTTTGAGACCAGCCTGACCAACATGGAGTAACCCCGTCTCTACTAAAAATACAAAATTAGCCGAATGTGGTGGCATACACCTGTGATCCCAGCTACTCGGAAGGCTGAGGCAGGAGAATCGCTTGAACCTGGGAGGCGGAGGTTGCGATGAGCCAAGATACACTTCGAGCCTGGGCAACAAGAGCAACTCTGTCTCAAAAAAAAAAAAAATTGTTATGTGTGTAATGGTATTCTGATTATATAGCAGAATGTCCATTTTTGTTTGTTTTTGAGATGCAGTTTTGCTCTTACTGCCCAGGCTGGAGTGCAGTGGTGCTATCTTGGCTCAGTGCAACCTCTGCCTCCCAGGTTCAAGCCATTCTCCTGCCTCAGACTCCTGAGTAGCTGGGATTACAGGCACCCACCACCATGCCCGGCTAATTTTTGTATTTTTAGTAGAGACATGGTCTCATCATGTTGGCCAGGCTGGTCTCGAACTCCTGACCTCAGGTGGTTCATCTGCCTCTGCCTCCCAAAGTTCTGGGACTACAGGCATGAGCCACTGCACTCGGCCTCAGAATGCCCTTTTTTTTTTTTTTTTTTTTAAGGAAAGACTGCACACTAAATAATGTAAAAGTGAAGTAACATGCTGTCTGGAATTTGTTTTAAAATATTTCAGCAGGGCCGGGTGCAGTGGCTCATGCCTAAAATTCCAGCACTTTGGGAGGCCGAGGCAGGTGGATCACAAGGTCAAGAGATCGAGACCATCCTGGTCAACATGGTGAAACCCTGTCTCTACAAAAAATACAAAAAAAAAAAAAAAGAAAAAAGAAAAAAAAAATATTTCAGCAGACTGGGCATGGTGGCTCACACCTGTAATCCTAGCACTTTGGGAGGCTGAGGCAGGAGGATCCCTTGAGCCCAGGAGTTAGAGACCAGCCTGAGTAACCTAGTGAGACCCTTGTCTCTAAAAATACATTTAAAAAAAAATTTTTTTTAATTTAAAGGGCCTGGTGCCAGGCGCGGTGGCTCAAGCCTGTAATCCCAGCACTTTGGGAGGCCGAGGCGGGTGGATCACAAGGTCAAGAGATCAAGGCCATCCTGGTCAACATGGTGAAACCCCGTCTCTACTAAAAATACAAAAAATTAGCTGGGCATGGTGGCGCGTGCCTGTAGTCCCAGCTACTCAGGAGGCTGAGGCAGGAGAATTGCCTGAACCTAGGAGGCGGAGGTTGCGGTGAGCCGAGATCGCGCCATTGCACTCCAGCCTGGGAAACAAGAGTGAAACTCCATCTCAAAAAAAAAAAGAAGAAGAAGGATGAGAGGTAGAGAGGTAGGCTCACGATGGGAGTTGCAATGGTCTCTTAATGTGAGGATAAGGAACATGCCATTCACTGTCATGTTCTACCTCCTAGTCCAGTGCCTGGTGTAAAGTGGGGGCTTCATAAACATTGGTCACAGGCCTGATGGTGGAACTGATCTGAGTGAGTGAGTGCATGGATGGTGCCTCTGTAGTTTGTGTTCCCTGCTAATCAGATGAACTCATACATGCTTCATTGCAGGGCTATCTCATCTGAGATATTATGTTAGAGAGTTCTCTCTACGTGCCATGACCGAGTAGCGTTTTCTTCCTCTGAAGTATTGCTTCCTCTTTGTTGGTATCACACGACAAACATCAGAACACTTACAGGATGTGTGTAGTGCGGCACGATAGAGAACTTGGGTTTCCTTTAATGTGACTGTAGACCTGGCAGTGTTAATATAAGAATCATTAATCAGACACCCTAGACACCCTGGTGTGCTGAGCTAGCACTCAGTGGGTGCGGCCACCGCTCATGTGATTGTGGAGTAACAGTTGGAAGAAGTGCCCAGTTCATTTGGAGAGTTAAAACCGCGCCCGTTCAGCTGTATCTTTAAATTTTAAAAAAGAAAAAGAAAAAAAACCGCACCTACCAGAGCTATCCTCTGACTTTTCTTCTACAAGCCCCATGTTTTCACATCTTCCTTTTGACTGTGTCCTCCTGCTGCTGCTGCTACTTACAAGTAAGTCTGGGCATGGATATTGACAGTGAGATAATGGTGCTGTCCAGAGGACAAGGATGGCCATTGTAATGTTATTTGTAATAGCAAAGGTTTGGAAGCAACCTAAATGTCCATCAGTGAGTGAGTGGGTAAATAAATGTGATATAATGTGTTATAAACAGTGAGGCTGACTAAACACAGTGGTATAGAATGTCTCAAAGTTATAATGTTATTTAAAAAAAGAAAGGTGCAGAATAATGCATATATTAGGCTTCTATTTGTGTGTGCGCATTATTGGGGAGCAGGAACATGTGGACATTTCTTAAAGTATAGGCTCTAGGAAAAGGAACCAGGGAGTGGTAAGGAGTTGGGAGAGTGAAGCATATTTTTCTTTTTTTTTTTTTTTTTGAGATGGAGTCTCACTCTATCACTCAGGCTGGAGTGCAGTGGCACGGTCTCGGTTCACTGCAATCTACACCTCCCAGGTTCAAGCGATTCTCCTGCCTCAGGCACCTGAGTAGCTGGGATTACAGGCACGCACCACTATGCCTTGCTAATATTTTTAATTTTTTCTTTTTTTCTTTTTTTTTGAGACGTAGTTTCGCTCTTTTTACCCAGGCTGGAGTGCAATGGCGCGATCTCGGCTCACCACAACCTCCGCCTCCTGGGTTCAAGCAATTCTCCTGCGTCAGCCTCTCGAGAAGCTGGGACTACAGGTGTGCACCACCATGCCCAGCTAATTTTTGTATTTTTAGTAGAGACAAGGTTTCACTGTGTTGACCAGATGGTCTCGATCTCTTGACCTCATGATCCACCCATCTCAGCCTCCCAAAGTGCTGGGATTATAGGCGTGAGCCACCGCGCCCAGCCTAATATTTTCAATTTTTAATAGAGATGGGGTTTTATCATGTTGGCCGGGCTGGTCTTGAACTCCTGGCCTTAAGTGATTTGCCTGTCTCAGCCTCCAAAGTGCTGGGATTACAGGCGTGACCCACCAGGCCAGGCAACTTTTTCATATACCTTTGATAGTGTTTGAATGTTTTTTTGTTTATTTTTTTTTTTTGAGATGGAGTCTCACTCTGTTGCCCAAGCTGGAGTGCAGTGGTGCCAACTCAGCTCACTGCAACCTCAGCCTCCCAGGTTCAAGCAGTTCTTCTGCCTCAGCCTCCTGAGTAGCTGGGATTACAGGCACCCATGACCACACCCGGCTAATTTTTTATATTTTTAGTAGAGACGGGATTTCACTATGTTAGCCAGGGTGGTCTCGATCTCTTGACCTCATGATCCAGCCGCCTTGGCCTCCCAAAGTGCTGTGATTACGGGTGTGAGCCACCGTACCCAGCGTGTTTGAATGTTTTTACTGTAGTTGAATCATATGAAAACCAAGGGGAAGGAAAAAAATCAAAAGAAAATATATAATGTATGTTTTATCATATGTAAAATATGTATATACAGTTTTTTTTTTTTAAGGAATTAACTTTGTCAATTGAGGAAAATGATAAGACAAGTCTCAATCATTTTAGAAGATTTATTTGCCAAAGTTAAGGAGGCACTTGGGAGAAAGGTCTATGCCTTTCTCAGAAGACGATTTTGAGCACTCCAAATTTAAAGGGGACAAGGTGGGATATTGAGAAGCACTCAGTTTTCACAGAAAGAAAGGGGGCAGAAGAAAAATGTGGGAAATCAGCATTTTCTATAAGATAGCATATGGCCGAGGTGACTGCACCTGTAAAGATAAGCTATCAGTTTGCACTGCACAGCTGACCAGGAATTTCCTTGTGTGCAAAATATGGGGGAGGCCTGTAGCCTTTCATCTTGCAGCCATCTTATTTAGGAATCAAAAGGAGGAGGCAGGTTTCCATGACCCCATTCCCAGCTTGACTTTTTCCTCTGGCTAAATGAGTCTGGAGTCTAGAGTACCAAAATTGAATTTCTTTTTTTTTTTTTTTTTTTTTTTTTTGAGATGGAATTTCACTCTTGTTACCCAGGCTGGAGTGCAATGGTGCTATCTCGGCTCACCGCAACCTCCGCCTCCCGGGTTCAGGCAATTCTCCTGCCTCAGCCTCCTGAGTAGCTAGGATTACAGGCACGTGCCACCATGCCCAGCTAATTTTTTTGTATTTTTAGTAGAGACAGGGTTTCACCATGTTGACCAGGATGGTCTCGATCTCTTGACCTCGTGATCCACCCGCCTCGGCCTCCCAAAGTGCTGGGATTACAGGCTTGAGCCACTGTGCCCGGCCAAAATTTAGTTTCTTTTCATAACTTCAAACCTTAAAGCAACTCCGTGAGTAGTTTCAAAGACACAAGATTCATATTTAACCAAGGGTTTTTATTTGCTGTGCACTTGCTGCTTAAAAAGAGATTTATGTCAGGAGAGCCTCCCTTTGTTGATGAAGTAGCCCAGATGGATGGGCCATTTCCTGGCTGACCATGACCCATTTTCTGATTGTCTATTTCCATCAGCTCTGTTTTCCTGTGCTCACAGAATTGGGCCACAGTTCTTTCCTAGGGCAGTGTTTCTGAAAGTGAAGTTCTGGGACCAGCCACTTCAAGAATACTTGAGAACTTGTTAGAAATAGAAGTTCTCAGGCTCCTCCACAGACCAGCTGAGTCAGGAACTCTAGCAGTTCAGCCCAGCAATCTGTGTTTTCACCAGGCTTCCCAGTATTCTGATGGCCTTCACGTGAATCATCCTCCAGACAGGACTGAAGTAGTGGCTTCCTCTTTATAAGGGCATTGCTTGCAGTTTTCCTGAAATTGAGTAATCTCACTGACTGCCTGAGTCTTGGCTCTCCTTCTCTCTCTATTCAGGGTCTTCGGAAGAGGAATACATAGTGGATGTGGGTCAGAATGCTTATCTGCCCTGCTTCTACACTCTGGACACTCCAGGAAACCTTGTGCCTGTCTGCTGGGGCAAAGGAGCCTGTCCTGTGTTTGAGTGTGGCAACGTGGTGCTCAGGACTGATGAAAGGGATGTGAGTTATCAGACATCCAGCAGATACTGGCTAAAGGGGGATTTCCACAAAGGAAATGTAACCCTGGCCATAGATAATGTGACTCTAGAAGACAGTGGAATCTACTGCTGCCGGATCCAATTCCCAGGCATATTGAATGATGAGAAATTTAACCTGAAGTTGGTCATCAAACCAGGTGAGTGGACCTTTGCATGCCTTCTTTATGAATAAGATTTATCTGTGGGTCATACTAAAGGTACTTCTCACCTCTGACCTCCCTAATAGCCCTGAAGGTGGGTCCCCTAAACCTAGGGTTTAACAGGCCCCATCAGTGATGCTCAGTGATATTTAACACCTTCCATCTGTTTTTTTTGTTTGTTTTTTTTTTTTTTTTTTGAGACGGAGTTTCACTCTTGTTACCCAGGCTGGAGTGCAATGGCATGATCTCGGCTCACTGCAACCTCTGCCTCCTGGGTTCAGGCAATTCTCCTGCCTCAGCCTCCTGAGTAGCTGGGATTACAGGCACGTGCCACCATGCCCAGCTGATTTTTTGTATTTTTAGTAGAGACGGGGTTTCACCATGTTGACCAGGATGGTCTCGATCTCTTGACCTTGTGATCCACACGCCTCGGCCTCCCAAAGTGCTGGGATTACAGGCTTGGGCCACCGCGCCCGGCATTCCTTCCATCTCTTTTAAAACTCATGGGTGGCTGGGCGCGGTGGCCCACACCTGTAATCCCAGCACTTTGGGAGGCTGAAGCAGGCAGATCACGAGGTCAGCAGTTCAAGACCATCCTGGCCAACATGGGGAAACCCCATCTCTACTAAAAATACAAAAATTAGCTGGATGTGGTGGCATGTGCCTGTAGTCTCAGCTACTTAGGAGGGGTACATTTCACTCATGGAAATCCCCCTTTAGTAGTTCAAGGAGATTTGTTTGAACCTGGGAGGCAGAGATGGCAGTAAGCCAAGATTACGTCACTGCATTTCAGCCTGGCACAGAGTAAGACTCTTAAAACAAAAACAAAAACAAAAGTAATGGGTGCAGCTGGGCATGGTGGCTCATGCCCGTAATCCCAGAAATTTGGGAGGCCAAGGCAGGCAGTTCATGAAGTCAGAAGTTCAAGACTAGCCTGGCCAACATAGTGATACCCTGTCTTTACTAAAAATACAAAAAATTAGCTGGGTGTCATGGTGGGCACCTGTAATTCCAGCTACTCAGGAGGCTGAGGCAGGAGAATCACTTGAACCTGGGAGGCAGAGGTTGTAGTGAGCCAAGATGACGCCATTGCAGTCCAGCCAGGGTGACAAGAGTGAATCTCCATCTTAAAAAAAAAAAAAAAGACAAAAAAGCCTCATGGGTGAAATTTTAGAAGGGAAAAAAGGCCTAGATCAGTGGTTAGAGACTGTGACTGCTCATTAGAATCACATGAAGAGTTTTTAAACAGCTATAGATGCCAGGTATGGTGGCTCATGCCTATAATCCCAACACTTTGAAAGGCTGAAGCAGGAGGATCACTTGAGGCCAGGAGTTTGAGACCAGCCTGGCCACTATAGTGTGACTAACCCATCTCTTAAAAAGAAGAAGAATAAGAAAAAAAAGCCACTACCAAAAACCAGAGAAATCAGCATCTCTGGAGGTAGATCCTAAGCATTAGCTTTTTACAGAGTCTATCCCAGGTGATTCTACCCCATGTGCAGCCAGCATGGTGAACCACTGGGTTGTGTGTATATGCTGGGAGGGGAACAAGACTTGTGTGTTTTAAGATTTCTATATCATCTACTTTGTGCCCAGAGAGAGCTGAGTTTAAATCTAACTCTGCCTCTTACTTGTTATATAATCCTGGGTAAGTTATTGAAATGATGTGACCTCCTTCTCTGTAAAATATGGCAATAATACCTATCATGTGGGCCATTAGAAGGATTTTATGTGTTAATATTTTATGAAAAGCATTTATAGGTTGGGCATCCCAAATCTGAAAATCTAAAATCTGAAATGCTTTAAAATCCAAAACTTTTTGGACACTGACGTGACATTCAAAGGAAATACTCTGCTCGTTGCAGCACTCTGCTCATTGGAGTATAAGTATAGTGCAGATACTAAAACATCCAAAAAATGTCTGGGCGCGGTGGCCTCACACCTGTAATCCCAGCACTTTGGGAGGCCAAGGTGGATAAATCACCTTAGGTTGGGAGTTTGAGAACAGCCTAACCAACATGAAGAAACCTCATCTCTACTAAAAGTACAAAATTAACTGGGTGTGGTGGTGCACGCCTGTAAGTCCAGCTACTCGGAAGGCTGAGGCAGAATTCCTTGAACTCAGGAGGCAGAGGTTGCGGTGAGATGATATTACACCAGCCTGGGCAACAAGAGCGAAACTTCATCTCAAAAAAAAAAAAAAAAATCCAATAAAACTCAAAATCAGAATGTAACCATGATGACTGAATCTTACCTTTGTCAGACATTTGAAGTGTATGAAACATTCTCAATGTAGGTATCTAAGCAGGTTTGAAAACTGAAGTTGTATCTCTCTTTCTTCCTTGTCTTTGACATTTTTTTCCTGCTGCCCCTTTGATTCCCTGAAATAAGCTTTCTGCTCTCAGATAATTTTCATCTTTATGTCGGTTTGTAACATTAGCCAAGGTCACCCCTGCACCGACTCTGCCGAGAGACTCTACTGCAGCCTTTCCAAGGATGCTGACCACTGGGGATCATGGCCCAGGTAACTATGCATGGGGCGGAGGCGGAAATCTTTAGCTGGCTCTGAATTCAGAGGATTTTGAATGTGGGAAAAAAGATGAGAAAACAGTGTGAGAATGGAGGCAAGGATGTTTCTGTGCACCTGAAACAGTGTTTGAGAAGAGGGGAGTGGTGAAGACACCCCTGTGCTGGGAAAAAGATGCTCTGGATTAGGATTACTTAAAATTTTAATTTTAAAAAATTTTAACTTTATAGTCTTTTATTTTACTTAAATATTAACTAAATTTAATGAAATAGTCATTACAGTGTCTGCACTTTCTGATATACTCTGTGCTGGTGATGTTTCATCGTGAATTGGTGCCAGTCTGCGTTTGGGAACTGATACATTGGATTAGGTGATTTCTAGTATGCCTTCTAGCTAGAATAAAGCCCATAAGCTTCCCTGGATTTTAACTTCAGAAGGCATAGCTAAATTCTTTTTGTAATTCAGCAAGGACATACCCAGGGTGCTCCAGAAGAGAACACTGGGCAGAAAGCAGAAGTCAGGTCACAACGATCATGGAGGTTCATTTAAAGCGATTTCCCATCAGTGTCCTGGTCTCGCCTAATCTCTCTGGAGCTCCATTTTTTTTTTTAATCTCCTGTAAAATAAGGTTAATAGGTGAGTCCCACCTCATAATATCATAAATCTCATAAATCACACCTTAGGAGATTTTTATTTTTATTTTCTTTTTCTTTTTTTGAGACGGAGTTTTGTTCTTGTTACCCAGGCTGGAGTGCAATGGCGCGATCTCGGCTCACCGCAACCTCCGCCTCCTGGGTTCAGGCAATTCTCCTGCCTCAGCCTCCCGAGTAGCTGAGACTACAGGCGTGAGCCACCATGCCCAGCTAATTTTTGTACTTTTAGAGACAGGGTTTCACCATGTTGACCAAGATGGTCTCGATCTCTTGACCTCATGATCCACTGGCCTCGGCCTCCCAAAGTGCTGGGATTATAGGTGTGAGCCACTGCACCCGGCCACCTTATGAGATTTAAAAAAGAAAATGTCCAAAACATTTAGCCTAATGTCTGACCACAATGTGTGCTCAGTACATGTTAGTTGTTGTTGTTAATATCATAAGATCAGGAGGCAGAATGAGACTGTGGTTAATGTACTTCAGGGACAGATGGAATGGGGTTTTAATTTCAGCTCTTCTTGCTAGCTCTGTGACCTAAGTCAAGTTGCTCAAAATCTTTGAAGCTTAGTTTCCTCATTTCTTCAATGAGGAGAATTCCACTGCCCATGTCGTGAGGTTGTTGTAATGTACAAACAGGATAATGTATGTAAAATGCTCAGCATAGTACCTGGCCCGTAGAAAGCACTCAGATGTTTGTTATTACTATAGTTACTAGTTTTAGCTCTCCAAAGGTTCAGTCTCTAGTTATTCTTTAGTAATTGTTAGCCAACATCTCTTAGGCAATTAGAGAGAAAATTAAATACGGTGGGGACAGATGATAACCACATTGTTGACTAATCAAGTCATATCAGATACTTATTGTATACCATTATTTTATATATATATATATATATATATATATATATATATTTTTTTTTTTTTTTTTTTTTTTTTTTTTTTTTTCTTTGAGACAGAATCTTGCTCTGTCGCCTAGGCTGGAGTGCAGTGGTGTGACCTTGGCTCACTTCAACCTCTGCCTCCTGGGTTCAAGTGAGTCTCTTGCCTCAGCCTCCTGAGTAGCTGGGACTACAGGCATCTGCCACCATACCCGGCTATTTTTTTGTATTTTTAGTAGAGACGGGGTTTCACCTTGTTAGCCAGTGTGGTCTTGAACTCATGACCTCAGGCAATCCATCTGCCTCTGCCTCCCAAAGTGCTGGGATTATAGGCATGAGCCACTGTGCCCAGCTGCCACTGTTATATTTTAAAGAATCCTACAACCATAGACCTAGAAGGGACTTCAAGGGTCATTTAATCTCACTTTCCCATCCTGTGCTTCAGTACTTTTTACATCACCACTGAGTGGGCATTTGCTGTAGAAGGAGTTCACTCCCTGTCAAGGTGATGCATTTCCTTATACTTGTCTCCACCACAGATGGATATCTTCTTCCCTTTAGTTTTTCTTTTTTGTTTGTTTGTTTGAGACAGAGTCTCACTCTGTGACTAGGCTGGAGTGCTGTGGTGTGATCTCGGCCCACTGCAACCTCCACCTTCCAGGTTCAAGCAGTTCTCCTGCCTCAGCCTCCTGAGTAGCTGAGATTACAGACTCCCGCCATCATGCCCAGCTAATTTTTGTATTTTTAGTAGAAACGGGGTTTCACCATGTTGGCCAGGCTGGTCTCAAACTTCTGACCTCAGGTGATCTGCCTGCAGGTGATCTGTTCCCAAATTGCTGGGATTATAGGCGTGAGCCACCACGCCCAGCTCTCCCTTTAGCTTTTGCTTGTTAGTTCATTCCCTCTAGGGCAACAAAAATGGGAATATAGGCACAATACCTTGAATTTCTGAGCTTCTCAAGGGCCTGAGAAAAAATATTGAAACATCCGAAAGTAGGGCAGTACTCCAAAATAGGAAAATAAAATAAAAAATCGAAATCAATGAATATTACCTGGCTTGTCTATAATATGTAACATTATGTAAATTGGCTGCTGGCAAACCAACTCTAAATGTGGGATGTGGGAGCATTTAATATAAAAATGAGGCTGGGCGCAGTGGCTCACACCTGTAATCCCAGCACAATGGGAGGCCAAAGCAGGCAGATCACTTGAGCTCAGGAGTTTGAAACCAGCCTGGGCAACGTGGCAAAACCCCATCTCTACTAAGAATACAAAAAGTTAGACGGGGCACAGTGGCTCATGCCTGTAATTCCAGCACTTTTGGAGGCCAAGGCAGGCAGATCACCTGAGGTCAGGAGTTCAAGACCAGCCTGGTCAACATGGTGAAACACAATCTTTACTAAAAGCACAAAAATTAACTGGGCATTTTGGTACATTCCTGTAATTCCAGCTACTAGGGAGGCTGAGGCAGGAGAATCATCTGAGCCTGGGGGGTGGAGGTTGTAGTGAGCCAAGATGTCACCGTTGTACTCAAGTCTGAACAACAGAGTGAGACTGTCTTAAAAAAAAAAAAAAAAGCCAGGCATGGTGGCATGTGCCTGTACTCCCAGCTACTTGGCGGGGGTCTGAGGCAGGAGGATTTCTGGAACCCAAAAGGTTGAGGATTCACTGAGCTGAGATGGTGCCACTATACTCCAAGCCTGAGCAACAGAGCAAGACTCTTTCTCAGAGGGGGGAGAAAAAATGGAGTGGAGCCTTTAAAAATAAGAGATCTAAGGGGTTGGAATTTGAACACAGAAGAGATGCGCCTTCTCTTCTACCTGAAGGAGGAAGGACTGGGTCACAAGTGAAGCCTCAGCTCTGCTGCAGACCTGCTTTAAATCCTAGCTTTCCCAATTAATAGCTGTGTGATCTTGGGTAAAGTGGCTCTCTCAGAGTCAGTATCTTCATCTGAAAAATGGGAAAAAATAGTAGTACCTACTTATTTTGGTGAGGATTAAATGAAATTCTATGTGTGCAGTGCTGAGCACCATGTCTGGCACATAATAAGTACCGAATAAATGGTAACTGCTAAATTTATTATTTTTCTTTTTTTTTCTTTAATTTTGATAACTACTAAATTTATACACTGTTAAGGCTGTCACATCTCACCTCCACTGCCACCTGCCCACCCCCAACCCCCACCCCACCCAGGCAAATCTTGGGTTCTCCAGAAAGAACACTGCCACTCCCTCCAACTGTCCTATCCATCTTGGTTGGTGGCCAAATCTGTGTGAAAAAAAAAAAGCTGTAATGACACAACCATGCTTGATTTTAGTGATCATTTTCATAGCAAAATGCAGTTGAAAAAAAGTTACTTTTACCATTTTTATCAAGAAAAATAATTATAGGGAAGCTGAACCTGGATTTACATTTGAAAATCTTATGTGCAGTTCAGATTCATGTTTACTTAGCAGTTGTACTAATGTGGTTTTATTCTTTAAATTTTTTTCTGGTAATTAGGGCAAAGTAAGTGGAACATCATCTTTTTTTCTTCAATAATTTTAGGCTGAGGGTATGCCTTTATAATATTTAAATTATAGTTTGTTAAACCAGCATTTAGTCAAACCCTTTATACACAGGAAAGGGTTTAGACTTTTAGGCTTCCAGAAGGTGTCTGTGACATTTGAGGATTTTCGACATCTCTGACTCAGCCAAAAAAATGAGTAAGCATGCTTAGTTTCCTCAAAGCTGGCAATGTACTTATTTTTAGAATTCAGGGTTCATGAGGTCAGGGCCTGTGCCCCTCTTGTTCCCTGCTCTGTGCCCTGTACCTAGAGTAAGGGACGTAGTGCATATTCATAGAAAGGATGAGCAGATGAAGAAATAAATGAACAGAAAGGCAAGATGGTGAGCAGGTGGCTGGGCAGTGTGGCCCTCTTCATGATGACAGCACTGAGGTAAAGCCTGTTGAAGGCAGTATAGTTAAGAATGTGCATTTAAAGCTATGCAGACCTCAATTGGAAGGCCATGTTGTCATTTGCTAAGTTGTGTGACCTTGGGTTAGTCACTTCACTTCCCTAATTTTAAGTTCTTCATGTGTGCGAATGGGACTAATAGTCCCTACTTTAGAAGAGTGGTTTTGAATGAGATACTTCACTAAAAGAGTTTAGCACAAGGCCTGGCTCCTATTACATTGTGGCCACTGGTGATTATTTTCATTTGTAGGCAACCAAATATCCTGTCTCCCTTCTAATGAGTAAATGCAAAACTTATTTAAGGAAACAGGAGGCCAGGTACAGCATGGTGGCTCACGCCTGTAATCCCAGCATTTTAGGAGGCCGAGGAGGGTGGATCACTTGAGGTCAGGAGTTTGAAACCAGCTTGGCCAACATGGCAAAACCTGTCTCTACTAAAATACAAAAATTAGCTGGGTGTGGTGGTGTGCCCCTCTAGTCCCAGAAACTCGGGAGGCTGAGACAGGAGAATTGCTTGAACTCAGGAGGCAGAGGTTGCAGTGAGCTGAGATTGTGCCACAGGCACTCCAGCTTGGTGATAGAGCAAGACACCGTGTCAATAAATAAATAAATAATGCCCTGAATGTTATCAATATTGCTGGATTTTGTAGAACCCAGTAGGATCTTGTAGACAAAACCAACCACATATTTAATGTAAAACTTCCTGCAGAAGTCTCTATTTCATGAAACAGTAGGTTTATTATCTAGATGAAAAAATGTGACCTATCCTAATGTTGATTCCTGGGTGTTCAGTAAATTTTCTTGGTCTCCCAGTTAATTATTGTGAAGAGGCATGGAGTAGAATTTGTTTCAAATAGGATCACAGGCATCTTTAAGATGAAAAAAAACCTTAGATAAAGGAAAACATTCTTAACTATTCTATTGGCTATTCTCTCTCTCTCTGTCTGTCTCTCTCTCTCTCTCTCTCTCTCTCTCTCTCTCTCTCTCTCTTTATAGCAGAGACACAGACACTGGAGATCCTCGATGATAAAAATCTCACAGTAAGTAACTTTTTGTGAGCTATGCTGTGCTCAACTTGGAAGGGAAAAGTATGGCTTTAGGGACGGGCACAGTGGCTCACACCTATAATCCTAGCACTTTGGGAGCCCAGGTGAGTGGATTGCCTGAGGTCAGGAGTTCAAGACTAGCCTGACCAACATGGTGAAACCCTGTCTCTACCAAAAATACAAAATTAGCTGGGTGTTGAGGAGCGTGCCTGTAGTCCCACCTACTCGGGAGGCTGAGGCAGGAGAACCACTGGAACCCGGGAGGCAGAGGTTGCAGTGAGCTGAGATCACACACTGCACTCCAGCCTGAGCAGCAAGAGTAAAATTCTGTCTCAAAAAAAAAAAAAAAAAGTATGGCTTTAGACTTCCTTCATGCCCAGCCTTTTCTTGGGGTAAAAAGCCTTAAGTTCCCTTAGCTTTAGATTCCTAGGCTGTAACATGTGGATGAAGTTCTAACCTCATAGGCTTGTTGTAATGAAGGACTGAGGTGGTGCATGTAAAGTGCCTAACACACAGTAAAAGCTTGAAAACCACAAGAAGAAACATTAGCATTCTGTCCCTCTTATTCTTCAGTTTCACAGCTGTCTACCCTGTGGAAGGTTCAAAGATTCTTCATCTCCCTAGAATACCTTTCTTCTTGATTCCATTGCAGTCCTAATGGGAAAGATTATTTAAATTTACTTCTTTATGTATGATAAGACACCAATCAGAAATATTCAAAGCCGAGAGTTTATATATTTAACTATAAATAAAGCCATACCTTAATTAATCTTAATTTTACTGTCCCTGCTACCTTATTAAAATAAAATAAAAACCGGCAGGGCACAGTGGCTCATGCCTGTAATCCCAGCACTTTGGGAGGTGGAGAAAGGTGGATCACCTGAGATGCAGGAGTTTGAGACCAGCCTGGCCAACGTGGTGAAACCTCATCTCTACTAAAAATACAAAAAATTAGCCTGGTGTGGTAATGTGTGCCTGTAGTCCCAGCTATTCCAGAGGCTGAGGCAGGAGAATCAATTGAACCCAGGAGGTGGAGGCTGCAGTGAGCCAAGGCTGTGCCACTGCATGCCAGCCTGGGCAACAAGAGTGAAACTTTGTCTCAAAAAAAAAAAAAAAAAAAGAGTAAAAGAAATACCACTAGAAAGCAAACTTATGGCAGTGACTTAAAAATTCTTTGAGGAGGCCAGGCACAGTGTCTCATGCCTGTAATCCCAGCACCTTAGGAGGCCAAGGTGGAAGGATTGCTTGAGACCAGGAATTTGAGACCAGCCTAAGTCACATAGTGACTCCCTGTCTCTACAAACAATTTTTAAAAATTGGCCAGGTGTGGTGTCACACACCTATAGTCTCAGCTACTTGGGAGGCTGAGGCAGGAGAATCGCTTGAGCCCAGGAAGTCAAGGCTACAATGAGCTGTGATCATGCCACTGCACTCCATCCTAGGTGACAAGGTGAGACCTTGTCTCAAAAAAAAAAATTGCTTGAGAACATATCCAGGAGTCCGCATTCATTTGACTCAGCTTCTTTTTTTTATTTTAACTTTTTTCTCTTTTTTCTTTTTTTCCTGAGAATAGTTTAAGTAATGACTCAGTTTCTTGCTTGTGTATTCACAACTGAAGCTTAGCAACTTGTCTTTGCTCCGTCTCTCTTTGCAATCAAACAGTGCTTTTTAAGGACCTCTATATGCCCACAATGCTTAATGCCCAATACCTTGCATATAGGACTCCTGTTATTGCAGGAGTAATGTGTATTGAATAAATGGAAGATTTAACTTCCTTAAATCATTGTTTTAAAAATGTTTATAGTTGTGTGTGTGTGTGTGTGTGTGTGTGTGTGTGTGTGTGTCGTATAAATAGGGTCTCAATATGTTGCCCAGGCTGGTCCTTAACTCCTGGCCTCAAGTGATCCTCTTATCTCAGCCTCTCAACTTGCTGGGATTGCAGGCATGAGCCTGGCCTGTAATGACTGTTCATTGTTTATTTACTTATTTATTTTTGAGATGGAGTTTCCCTCTTGTCACTCAGGCTGGAATGCAGTGGTGGGCTATTTGCCAGGCTGGAGTGCTATTTGCTGCTTATATTTTCTGTCACCTAGTTTTCCTGATAACTCTACAGGATTTTTAGTGACAGAGCTGGGATTTTTTTTTTTTTTTTTTTTTTTTAAAAGACAGGGTTTCACCATGTTGGTCAGGCTGGTCTTGAACTCCTGACCTCAGGTGATCCGCCCACCTTGGCCTCCAAAGTGTTTGGATTACAGGCGGGTGAGCCACCACGCCCAGCCTGGGATTTGTTTTTGTTTTGTTTTGTTCAGGCCAGCATGCAGTGGCATGATCTCAGCTCACTGCAATCTCTGCCTCCTGGGTTCAAGGGATTCTCCTGCTTACAGTCTCCCCAGTAGCTAGGATTACAGGCACATGTCACCACACCTCTCTAAGTTTCGTATTTTTAGTAGAGATGGGATTTCACCATGTTGACCAGGCTGGTCTCAAACTCCTGATGTCAAGTGATCCGCCCACCTCGTCCTCCCAAAGTGCTGGGATTACAGGTGTGAGCCACTGTGCCTGACCTCAGAGCTGGGATTTGAATTCAGGGCTGTCTGGCTATAAAGTCTTGGCTACTGAATCAGTGTCTTTTTGTGAAAATTAGGGGTTTCACAGTAAGACACCAAGTGTGGACTACTGTAAAACTCTCTGGGGAATATTAGGGGATCTTGAACCAAAAAGACTTCACACTAGGGGCAGGGAAAGGGTCTGTTTACTAAGAGCTCCTTCTCCACCCACAACACAGAAGGGCACATTTTGTTTCCTTGCTAACTCCAAAGGTTAAGCGAATCCTTTCCTTGGGTTGGCTTGAGTCTTGGCTACACGATGACAGATCAAGGGTGATTTCAAGGACGCTGTGATCCTGTGATGTTGTAAAAGGGATGGTCCAATTCACAAATCATGAGACTGAGTGCACAAGCGATTTCTGGCTATTTGCTGCTTAAATCCTGTTTGTGTTTCTATAGCAACTATCCACACTGGCCAAGGAGTTACAGGACGCTGGAGCAACCATCAGAATAGGCGTCTACATCGGAGCAGGGATCTCTGCTGGGCTGGCTCTGGCTCTTATTTTTGGCACTTTAATTTTCAAATGTAAGTCTTTTTGTTTTTCTCTCCCTCTGATAACAAATTCTTAAATGGGAGCCATTAAAAACCTAGATAGAAATGCAAATTCATGTTTATACTTAAAGACGATTAGACTAGCACCGGGCTCAAGCCTGTAATCTGGGAGGCCGAGGCAGGTGGATCATGAGGTCAAGAGATCGAGACCATCCTGGCCAACATAGTGAAACCCCGTCTCTACTAAAAATACAAAAAATTAGCTGGGCATGGTGGCGCGTGCCTGTAATCCCAGCTACTCAGGAGGCTGAGGCAGGAGAATTGCCTGAACCCAGGAGGCAGAGGTTGCGGTGAGCCGAGATCGCGCCATTGCACTCCAGCCTGGGTAACAAGAGCGAAACTCCGTCTCAAAAAAAAAAAAAAAAAAAAAAAAAAAAGATGATTAGACTAAAAACCCTTTTGTCCATCCAAACTCTAACAATAATGGCTAATTTTTATTTACTATTTACTGTGTGTCAGGTAGGCTCTGGGTTAAATGTTTTACATACATTTTATCATCATTACTCTCTTACACGAGATAAGGAGTAGTAGCATCCCCATTTTACAGCGGAGGGAAGTCGAGCTTCTCAAGGTTCCCACATCAGTACCTGGCAGAACCGGAATTCAAATCCAGGCAGGCTGATTCCAGTACCTGTTCTCTTATTTTTGGTTAAGAAAACTAATCTCTTTAACTCATTTAATATGTCTAGGTTTGTTAGGGAACAGGGCAACAAAAAGACACTTCCTGATGTGTACTTGTCTGTTACTGGTTTCTCAGGCTTTGCTCTTTGGGAGTAGATTTCAAGTCTCTTTAACACTGGGTCATGATTGGTGTTACAGAATGTTTTCCTCCATCCTGGTACTTAGCACATAGCTTTTTTTTTTTTATCCTTTAAAAAAGGAAACAAAACAAAACAAAAAAACAGGCCAGGCTCAGTATCTCACGCCTGTTATCTCAGCACTTTGGGAGGCTGAGGCGGGTGGATCATTTGAGGTCAGGAATTCGAGACCAGCTTGGCCAACATGATGAGACCCCCATTTCTACTAAAATTACAAATTAGCCAGGCATGGTGGCTCATGCCTGTAATCCCAGCTACTCCGGAGGCTGAGGCAGAAGAATCGCTTGAACCCGGGAGGTGTAGGTTGCAGTGAACCAAGATCACACCATTGTACTCCAGCCTGGGCAACAAGAGCAAAACTCGGTCTCAAAAACAAAACAAAACAACCCAACGAAAAAGACTAAAGGGTGTTCCTAAGATATTTGGGACTTCCAGGGCTAAAACTGGAACAGTCCAAGAAAAACAGGATGAGTTGATCACCCCACTAACTGTAGACTGAAGCTGCCAGGGGCTTTATGTGCATTAAATTCTCATAACTGTCCTATGAGATAGGTACTAAAATGTTTCTAATGGAGAATCAGCAGGCTAAAAGGTTAAGTCACTTGTCTGCATTTATACAGTTAATTGATAGATACAGGATTTGAACCCAAGGCTCTCCTGCTCCTCACCATTATGGTTTCAGCCATTATTGTTAAATGGATTATTCAGAAAAAGAAACTACCCCACCCACACTTACCTGGATTTATTCAGAGATAGCCATGGATTTTTTTAATTGATCACATGAATGTGTGTGTGTGTGTGTGTGTGTGTGTGTGTGTGTGTGTGTATTTATTATTATTATTGAGACAGAGTCTTATTCTGTGACCCAGTTGCTGGAGTACAATGATGCAGTCTTGGCTCACTGCAGCCTCTGCCTCCTGGGTTCAAGCAATTCTTGTGCCTCAGCTCCTGAGTAACTGTGATTACAGGCATGGGCTACCACATATGGCTAGGTTTTGTTTGTTTTTTTGTTAGAGTTGGGGTTTTGCCATGTTGCCTAGGTTGGTCTCAAACTCCTGAGCTCAAGTGATCCTCCTACTTCAGCTTCCCAAAGTGCTGGAATTACAGGCATGATGAATATATACATATTTAAAAATACAGATGGGGTCTTGCCGTGTTGTCCAGGCTGGCCTGGAACTCCTGGCCTCAAGAAATCCTCCCACCTCAGCCTGCCAAAATGCTGGGATTATAGGCATAAGCCATTGCGCCCAGCCTCCCATGAGTATTTTGAAAACGGCCTAGGGAATGTTAAGGGGCAGTGATAACATCCACTACTTTTTTGAGTTCTGCCAAGGCTCAAAGTAAAACTTTGAGCTTTACTATTATATATATTAGAGACCACTTTATATATATATAGTAGGGACCATGATTTATACACATTAGCAATTATTCTAATTTGGATAAAGAGTAACGGAGCATGAAGTAAATCTGATGCTTTGTACACATACATGTATGCCACTCCAAAAAACATGGTGACTGAGAAGAACAGATAAGAAAGTCCTGGCCGGGCGCGGTGGCTCAAGCCTGTAATCCCAGCACTTTAGGAGGCCGAGGCGGGTGGATCACGAGGTCGAGTGATCGAGACCAACCTGGTCAACATGGTGAAACCCCGTCTCTACTTAAAAAAATACAAAAAATTAGCTGGGCATGGTGGCGCGTGCCTATAATCCCAGCTACTCAGGAGGCTGAGGCAGGAGAATTGCCTGAACCCAGGAGGCGGAGGTTGCGGTGAGCCGAGATCGCGCCATTGCACTCCAGCCTGGGTAACAAGAGCGAAACTCCGTCTCAAAAAAAAAAAAGAAAGTCCTGTTTAGCTTCCAACCGTTTCCCTGGAAATTGCTGGAGAAAATATGAAAATCAGGGTGATAGCTTTTTTTTTTTTTTTTTTTTTACTTTTTTTTTTATATTTATATTTTCTATTCTGGTGATAGCTTTTTAAGTCATGAACTCACAAAAACAAATCGGCACCCAATAGTGCCCCACATCTTCCGTCTTTCTAGTACACTCTCTTAGATGACCATCCTTACTTCACTGCTGCTCAAACCTTCTTTGCCCCTCTCCCTAACTGAGGAAATACCAAAGGGCTGTTCTTCTCCATTGCCGAGGCCAAGGCTTCATCCTCCTTTTTATCCCTTTCTTTTGAGTCATCTCTATCCTTTCGTATTCATGTTCTAGTCCATGCATTCCTCTCCAGCTGCTCCCATGTCTCAACTCTTTATCACAGCTGTATTTTTCAAAGTAGTTGTCCCTACTTTTTATCTGTCTGCACTCCTTGACCAACCGTCATCTAGTTTCTACTCCAAAACACCATGAAAATAATCAAGGTCACACCAATGACCTTCATTTTTCTAAATTAAATATTAACAGACACTGTTATCTTTTTTTTTTTTTTTTTTTTTCTTGAGATGGAGTTTCACTCTTGTTGCCTAGGCTGGAGTACAATGATGCAATCTTGGCTCACTGCAACCTTCGCCTCCCGTGTTCAAGCAATTCTCCAGCCTCAGCCTCCTAAATAGCTGAGATTATAGGCAGGCACCACCATAACTGGCTAATTTTTGTATTTTTAGTAGAAACAGTGTTTCACCATGTTCACTAGGCTGGTCTCAAACTCTTGACTTCGGTTTATCCTCCCACCTTGGCCTCCCAAAGAGCTAGGATTACAGGCATGAGCCACTGCACCCGGCCTGATACCTTTATCTTTATTATAGTCAACCTTTTAAGTTGATCACTTATTCTAGAAAGTCTTCCTTCTGTTGGCTTCTAAGATGGCATTCTCCTATTTGTTTGGCCCTTGCTTTTCAGTGCTTCTTTTGCCTGATCCTTAGATGTTGAGATTCCTTAGGGCTGGGTATGGTGGTACACGCCTGTAGTCCCAGCTACTCAAGAGTCTGAGGCAGAAGGATCACTTGAGCCCAAGAGTTTGAGGCTGTGAACTATGATCTTGCCACTGCATTCCGGCCTGGGTGACACAGGGAGACTGTCTCAAAGAAAAACAGCAACAAAAAAGATTCCTACAGTCTTTCTCCAAAATATATCTAAAGTCTTTTCATTATTCTGCATCTCTTTTGGCCGTTATCTTACTCCAAGGCACCATTTTCTCTACTTAATTTATCTTCTCATTTCTTTATTCCTCCTTCGAATCCAATATTAAAACCCAAATCAATGTCTGGGCACAATGGCTCATGCCTATAATACTAACACTTTGGGAGGCCAAGACAGGAGAGTCACTTGAGGTCAGGAGTTTGAGGCCAGTCTGGGCAACATACTGAGATTCTTAAAAAAAAAAAAAAAAAAAGTAAAAATAATTAAAATAATTTTTTTTTGAGACAGTCTGGGTCTGTTGCCCAGGCTGGAGTGCAGTGGTGCAATCATGGCTCACTGCAACCTCTGCCTCCCGAGTTTAAGCAGTCCTCCTGGCTCAGCCTCCAAGTAGTTGGAACCACAGGCACGTGCTACCACACCTGGCAAATTTTTGTATTTTTAGTAGAAGTGGGGTTTGCCACATTTCCCAAGCTGGTTTTGAACTCCCAAGCTCAAGAAATTCGCCTGCCTTGGCCTCCCAAAGTGCTGGGATTACAGGCATGAGCTACTGTGTCTGGCCCAAAAAGATTTTTAAAAATTATCCAGCAGCCCAGGCTTGGTGGCTCACACCTGTAATCCCAGCACTTTGGGAGGCCAAAGTGGATGGATATTGAGGTCAGGAGATCAAGACTATCGTGACCAACATTGGTGAAACCCAGTCTCTACTAAAAATACAAAAAAAATAGCTGGGCATGGTGGCACACACCTGTAGTCCCAACTACTTGGGAGGCTGAGGTGGGAGAATTGCTTGAACCCAGGAGGCAGAGGTTGCGGTGAGCCGAGATCATGCCACTGCACTCTAGCCTGGAGACAAAGTGAGACTCTGTCTCAAAAAAAAAAAAAAAAAAAAAATTATTCAGCTGTGCTGGTGTGCACCTATAATTTCTAGCTACTCAGGAAGTTGAGATGGGTAGATCCATTGAGCCCAGGAGTTCAAGGTTGCAATCAGATATGATCTTGCCACTGCATTCCAGCCTGGCCAACAGAGCAAGAACATGTCTCAAAAAAAGAAGAAAGGAAAAATTTTAAGTTTCAGATTTTTGAAACTGCATCCCCAGAAGACACCTTGAAAGACGTCATGAAAGACCTTGATCCAGAGGTACCCAGTAAGCCACACCTGGACTCCTGACCACAGCACAGAAATGATGAGATAACAAATACTGTTTTCAGCTGCTAAAAAGAAACCCCAAACCAATAAGGATCATATCTCTGCCCTTAAAGGAAATAAGATTTTCTACAGGTTCCACAATAAAATCGAAACTCCTGATTATGGCTGGCTAAAGGTCTTATTGTACCTAGCCTCAGTTTACCTTTCAGACCTAATCTTGGGTCAGTCCCTTAGTCCAGTCATGTTTTCCATTTCAGACACTCACCAAGATCTTTACCAGGGGCTGTCTCATCCTGGAATGCTCCTTCTGCTTTTTACTTGGCTAACTCATTTCAGAAATGAGCTTAAAGGTCATCTTTGGGGGTTTTTCCCTGACCAACCTCTATATTACCTGTTTCAGTATGATGTTGGTTTCCTTTATAATACATCATAATTTGAAATTATTTTTTTCTATTTACGGTTTTCTTTTTTTTTTTTGAGTCAGAGTCTTACTCTGGCTCCCAGGCTGGTGTGCAATGGCACGATCTCGACTCACTGCTACCTCCGCCTCCTGGCTTCAAGCGATTCTCCTGCCTCTGTCTCCTGAGTAGCTGGGATTAAAGGCATGTGTGGCAGTATACTCAGCTACATTTGCATTTTTAGTAGAGACGGGGTTTCTCCATGTTGGTTAGGCTGGTCTCAGGTCGGGAGTACTGTTTTCTTTTATTTCTTTGGTCTCCTGAGGGAGAACGCAAGTCATGAAATTAGGGCTCACAATCCACTTTTATGTTCTTGTGTTCCTGTGCCTAGCAAACTGCCAGACACATAGTAGAGGCCTCATCATATTTGTTAAATAAGAAAAATGCATTTTTATTATTATTTTCTAGCACAGTCCATGTAATTATCTAAGGCACACACTGAGAGTTTCATTTAATTCAATCTAAGGTGAGACCAGATTTCCCTAAACAATGCATGCGTCCGGTTAGCCTATTTGATTGCTTGACCCACTTATTTTATGAAGGCATTTTTATTGACTTTTCTTTCCCCGTTACCTAGGGTATTCTCATAGCAAGGCGAAGTTACAGAATTTAAGGTAAGAATAATGGAATGGAGTTGGGGAAAGGGGACAATCTTGGAGGTCCCTACTCTGATGTGTCTGATGTTTATCTGGGGAATCCTGCCCTGGGGCTTTGGGATCTGAGCTTATACTTCCTTTTTTCTCTAGATCTAATTATGAAGTGAAAATGTAATATGCTGCTGTGTTTACTTCCTGATACCTCTAGCTTCTTTAGTTCTAAAGTTAAGGTATAGAATTTGTCTCCCTAATAATACAACATGCTTATTTATCTCGATATTAATGGTTTTTTTCAGTGAACTGAACCTTCAGCGGATTGAAATCTTATTATATCCAGGGTCTAGGCTGGGCTTTGGCATTACAGAAGTGAGCAGGAAACCCAGCATCTGTTCTCAGCGTTTCTGTAAACCAGCCCAGGCATTTTCAACTTAGTGGGGTTTTACCATGTTGGCCAGGCTGGCCTCAAACTCTGACCTTAGGTGATCCACCCACCACAGCCCCCCAAAGTGCTGGGATTACAGGAGTTAACCACCAGGCCTTGCCAAGAAGCGTTTCAGATGTCAGATTTTGGAATATTTTCATTATATATACTTAGGAGCTGAGCATCCCTAATTCAAAAATCCAAAATGCAAAATGCTCCAATGAGCATTTCTTTTTGGTGTCATGTCAGTACTCAGAAAGTTTCAGATTTTAGGCTGGGCGCAGTGGCTAACACGTGTAATCCAGCACTTTGGGAGAACGAGGCAGGCAGATCACAAAGTCAAGAGATGGAGACCATCTTGGCCAACATGGTGAAACCCCATCTCCATCTCTACTAAAAATACAAAAATTAGCCAGGTGTGGTGATGCATGCCTGTAATCCCAGCTACTTGGGAGGCTGAGACAGGGAATCGCTTGAACCCTGGAGGCGGAGGTTGCAGTGAGCCGAGATCTCACCACTGCACTCCAGGCACTGAAGTGTACTAATGCAGGGCCAACCCCCAGAGGAACTGAATCAGAATCTCTGGGGATGAGGCCTAAGCACAGGTATTGTTTTAAAAGCTCTCCAGGTGATTCGAGTGAAAAATCAGGGCTGAGAACTCTAGTCTATTATAGACTCCTGGCTTAACCTTAATTACTGAGTACACACACACACATCCACATACACACACACACACACACACACATCCATTTCAAATAGATATAGCTTACAGAACTTACTAGCTTTTAGACTTTTTTTTTTTTTTTTTTAATAGAGACGGGGTTTCATTATGTTGGTCAGGCTGGTCTCGAACCCCCGACCTCGTGATCTGCCCGCCTTGGCCTCCCAAAGTGCTGGGATTACAGGCGTGAGCCACCGCGCCCGGCCTAGCTTTTAGACTTTTAGTGATATTTGGCACATGAATGGAATGCAATATGTTTGGATTTAAAAAACGACTCTGGGCTAGGTGCTGTGGTTTACCCGTAATCCCAGCACTTCAGGAGGCTGAGGTGGGAGGATCACATGAGCCCAGGAGTTTGAGACCAGCATGGACAACGTGAGACCTCTCTCTCTCTCTCTCTCTCTCTCTCTCTCTCTCTCTCTCTCTCACTCTCTTTTGAGATGGAGTCTCACTCTGTAGCCCAGGCTGGAGTGCAGTGGTGGGATCTCGGCTCACTGCAACCTCCGCCTCCAGGGTTCAAGCGATTCCCTGTCTCAGCCTCCCAAGTAGCTGGGATTACAGGCATGCATCACCACACCTGGCTAATTTTTGTATTTTTAGTAGAGATGGAGATGGAGTTTCACCATGTTGGCCAGGATGGTCTCCATCTCTTGACTTTGTGATCTGCCTGCCTCGTTCTCCCAAAGTGCTGGATTAAACGTGTTAGCCACTGCGCCCAGCCTAAAATCTGAAACTTTCTGAGTACTGACATGACACTAAAAAGAAATGTTCATTGGAGCATTTTGCATTTTGGATTTTTGAATTAGGGATGCTCAGCTCCTAAGTATATATAATGAAAATATTCCAAAATCTGACATCTGAAACGCTTCTTGGCAAGGCCTGGTGGTTAACTCCTGTAATCCCAGCACTTTGGGGGGCTGTGGTGGGTGGATCACCTAAGGTCAGAGTTTGAGGCCAGCCTGGCCAACATGATAAAACTCTATCTCTACTAAACATACAAAAATTAACTAGGCGTGGTGGTGTGTGCCTGTAATCCCAGCTACTTGAGAGGTTGAGGCAGGATAATTGCTTGAACTGGGGAGGCAGAGGTTGCAGTAAACCGAGATGGCACCACTGCACTCCAGCCTGAGCAACAAACAGAGTGAGACTCTCTCTCAACAACAACAACAAAAAAGAAACACTTCTGGCCGTGAGCATTTCAGATAAGGAAGAATCAACTTGCACATGGAATAACAGTACTCTTCATCTTAACTCTTCATTTGACATTTTGACACTTTTGCTTTACCTATTTCTCTATATGCATAATTCTTTTCTGAACCATTTTTAAGAATGTTGGAGACTTTTTTTTTTGAGATGGCCTAGGCTGGAGTGCAGTGTCATAATCTCAGCTCACTGCAACCTCTGCCTCCTGGTCTCAAGCAATTCTTCTGCCTCAGTCTCCTGAGTAGCTGGGATTACAGGAATGTGCCACCACACCTGGCTAATTTTTTCTATCTTTAGTAGAGATGGGGTTTCATCATATTGGCCAGGCTGGTCTCAAACTCCTGACCTGTGATCTGCCTGCCTCAGCCTCCCAAAGTGCTGGGATTACAGACGTGAGTCACTATGCCCAGCCCATTTTTAAAAAATCTAAATAATGTGTACATAATTGCAGACATCTTGACACTTCACATAAACTTCAGCCTGCAAATCCTAGAAATAAAGATATTCTTTCAGATATCACAATGCTGTTACTATAACTAAGAAAATTAAAATTAATGGAAGTTTTCTCAGTTGCTTCCCCATAGTATTTTATTGCTATTTCTTGGCTTTTCCCCTTGTTCAGCATTTGATCAACGATCACACACTGTATTTAGTTGCTTTCTCTTTGGGAAAGCTTAGTCTCTTACCTCTATTCCATGTAACCTGGGAAATGTTTAACTCAACTGTGACACTTTATTTCCACAGCCTCATCACTTTGGCCAACCTCCCTCCCTCAGGGTTGGCAAATGCAGCAGCAGAGGGGATTCGCTCAGAAGAGAATATCTATACCATTGAGGAGAACGTATATGAAATGGAGGAGCCCAGTGAGTATTACTGCTCTGTCAGCAGCGGGCAGCAACCCTCACAACCTTTGGGTTGCCACTTTGCAATGCCATAGATCCAACCATTTTATTTTTGAGCTTGGTATTGCCTTTTTCAAAAACTATAAGCTGTGTCAGCTGACTGGTTTTAGAGATTCTGTCCACTGCCACGGAGCAGAGTTTTCCCATTTTCGGAAAATGACTCACATGATAATTCAACTGTGACCTACACGGAATTTAAACAGGCATGTCATTATCTCTGTATCTAAGCCAACAGAGTTACCCAACTCAGAGACTGTCCATCATGGATGTTAGAGCTCAAACAGGCTTTTATATATACTGGGAATTATTGACATGGAGTCTCTGGCGCTCCAGGAAATTCGGGCACATCATATATCCATGAAACTTCAGATAAACTAGGGAAAACTGGGTGCCGAGATGAATGCGTACCTTTTTTGGCACAGAAAGTCTAAAGGGGCTACTGATTTTCGAAGAGATCTGTGATTCTTTTTTTTGAGACAGAGTCTTGATCTGTCACCCAGGCTGGGGTGCAGTAGCATGATCTCAGCTCACTGCAGCCTCCGCCTCCTGGGTTCAACTGATTCTCCTGCCTCAGCCTCCTGAGTAGCTGGGATTACAGGTGTGCACCACCGCACCCAGCTAATATTTGTATTTTAGGTAGAAACCAGGTTCTGCCATGTCGGCCAGGCTGGTCTCGAACTGCTGACCTCGCGATCTGCCTTTTAAAACTTTTTTTTTTTTGGCCGGGCATAGTGGCTCACGCCTGTAATCCAAGCACTTTGGAGGCCAAGGTGGGCGTATCACCTGAGGTCAAGAGTTCAAGACCAGCCTGACCAACATGGTGAAACCCCATCTTAAAAAAAAATAGAAAGAAAAAAGAAGGCCGGGCGCGGTGGCTCAAGCCTGTAATCCCAGCACTTTGGGAGGCCGAGGCGGGTGGATCACGAGGTTGAAAGATCAAGACCATCCTGGTCAACATGGTGAAACCCCGTCTCTACTAAAAATACAAAAAAACTAGCTGGGCATGGTGGCGCATGCCTGTAATCCCAGCTACTTAGGAGGCTGAGGCAGGAGAATTGCCTGAGCCCAGGAGGCGGAGGTTGCGGTGAGCCGAGATCGCGCCATTGCACTCCAGCCTGGGTAACAAGAGCGAAACTCCGTCTCAAAAAAAAAAAAAAAAAGAAAAAAAAAGAAAAAAGAAAAAAATTTTTTTTTGAGACAGAGTTTCACTCTGTTGCCCAGGCTGCAGTGCAGTGGCATGGTCTCGGCTCACTGCAACCTCTGCCTCCTGGGTTCAAGTGATTCTCCTGCCGCAGCCTCCTGAGTAGCTGGGATGGCTGGTCTCGAACTCCTGACCTTGTGATCCTCCTGCCTCGGCCTCCCAAAGCACTGAGATTACAGGCATGAGCCACCGCACCTGGCCAGGGATCCTTAAATGATGAAGAGATGACTGGACCGGGTCTGCCTTGATCTTGAGTATTCCCTCAAAATGCTGAGCTTTAGGCTTCTTTGACCATTACCTGTCCAACCGTAAGTGCCAGCACACAGCTCTCTTTTGCCTCTCTTTCGAAGACTGACCTGCGAGCCTGCGATGTGGTAGGAGCTCCCGGAGAAAAAGGAACTGCGTTCAATCCGTGCGTATTGCCACATTTTGCTTGTGGTGCACTAGAAAGAAAACATCTCTGACCAACTTCTCTCTTCATGGACCAAACTGAAGTTGTATTTTTTATAGAAGCGGCAGCAGTGACTGGGACACAAATTCTGTTTCCTGCTGGAAAGAAGACAAAGGCTTTTAGCAATCTATATTGCCAGCGTTGGATCCTTACATGGAAAGTGATCCCTAAACTTCAGTTTCGAGGTGGTGAAGACTTGGTCTGTCTTGCTTATTGTTGCCCCCAGTGCCTGGCACAACTCTGACACACAATTGAAACTTACTAAATTATTTTTTTTACCCTTTTTTTGTTTGGTTTTTGAGACAGAATCTCACTCTGTTGCCCAGGCTGCAGTGCAGTGGCCTGATCTAGGCTCACTGTGGCCTTGATGTCCCGGGCACAATTTATCCTTCCACTTCAGCCTCCCCAGCAGCTGGGACAATAGGCATGCACCACCGTGCCAGGCTAATTTGTATGTTTTTAGTCGAGGTAAGGTTTCACCATGTTGGCCAGGCTGGCCTCAAACTCCTGGATTCAAGCGATCCCCCCTGCCTTGACCTCCCAAAGTGCTGGAATTTTAGGTGTGAGCCGCCGCACCCCGCCTAAATATTTTTTGGAGCGAAAAAAATAATAAGCAGAAAGGTAGCTTCCTGGAAGACTTTCGTTACAGAGCTCAGATAAGAGTGTGACTCTGCAAGTTCACTTCTTGGAGAACTCACACATACCTGGAAGCTCCTGTATTCACTCTTATCCAGGCCAGAGTGGCCCGTGTTTCTCAACGTCATTCAGCTCAGGCCTTTGTTGGTGTCTTACTCTTTTGTCTATTTCCCTCCCTTCTGAGCCATCCTCAGTGCATAGGAATAAATTAACAACAGGGACCTATCACCACCTAAAAACTGCTCCTCCCCAGGTGATGACCAAGCTGTGACAGTGCCGCATGTAGAAGATGCTGGCCAACAAGGCTGTCGGCAGCCTGTCTGTTTCTAGAAGTCTTTCTGACAGTCTTGTGTGAATGAGAGTGTTTGGGCTGCATCTAGATAGTTTTGGGAGGCACTGGCATTCTACAGGGAGGTATGTAAGGGAGATCATTTCGCAAAATTAATTATAGGCAGCAGCTCTCATACAGGCTGAAAAAATTAATCTTTTTTTTTTTTTTTTTTTTTTTTTTTTGAGATGGAGTTTCGCTCTTGTTACCCAGGCTGGAGTGCAATGGCGCGATCTCGGCTCACCGCAACCTCCGCCTCCTGGGTTCAGGCAATTCTCCTGCCTCAGCCTCCTGAGTAGCTGGGATTACAGGCACGTGCCACCATGCCCAGCTAATTTTTTGTATTTTTAGTAGAGACAGGGTTTCACCATGTTGACCAGGATGGTCTCGATCTCTTGACCTCGTGATCCACCTGCCTCGGTGTCCCAAAGTGCTGGGATTACAGGCTTGAGCCACCATGCCCGGCTGAAAAAGTTAAGTGTCTTTTTAAAATTTTTTTGAGACAGAGTCTCACTCTGTCACCCAGGCTAGAGTGCAGTGGCTCGATCTTGGCTCACTGCAACCTCTGCCTCCTGAGTTCAAGCGATTCTCCTGTCTCAGCCTCCCAAGTAGCTATGATTACAGGTGCACATCACCACACCCAGATGTTTTTTTGTATTTTTAGTAGAGATGGGGTTTCGCCATGTTGGCCAAGCTGGTCTCAAGCTCCTGACCTCATGTGACCCACCCACCTCAGCCTTCCAAAGTGCTGGGATTACAGGCGTGAGCTACCGCACCCAGCCCATAAGTGTCTTAAAGTCATGAAATTCTAGTAAGAAGAAACTTCAGGACACATTTGAAGCAGATCAGTCGTCCTCATCAAAAGAGATTCTTATCCTACCCAAATCTTTAAACAAGGGTATATGTACAAGGCTGATCATTGCAATGGTGTTTGCAGAGATTTTTTACAATCAGTAACGGAATGGATGATTATAGTGTTATGCCAATACACGGCTGCGAGTAAAAAGAATCATGACCAAAACACCAAAAGCATTGGCACCAAAAGCCAAAACAGACCAATGGGACCTAATCAAACTCCACAGCTTCTGCAAGGCAAAAGAAGCAGTCATTAGAGTAAATCGGCAACCAAAAGAATGGGAAAAAAATTATGCAGTTTACCCATCTGACAAAGGGCTGATATCCAGGATTTACAAAGAACTAAAACAGATTTACAAGAAAAAAACAAGCCCATTCAAAAGTGGGCGAAGGATGTGAATAGACACTTTACAAAAGAAGGCATACATGAGGCCAACAAACATATGAAAAAATGCTCATCATCACTGGCCATGAGAGAAATGCAGATTAAAACTACATTGAGATACCATCTCACGCCAGTTCGAATGGCGATCATTAAAAAATCTGGAGCCAACAGATGCTGGAGAGAATGTGGAGAAATAGGAACACTTTTACACTGTTGGTGGGAGTGTAAATTAGTTCAACCATTGTGGAAGACAGTGTGGCGATTCCTCAAGGAGCTAGAAATAGAAATTCCATTTGACCCAGCAATCCCATTACTGGGTATATATCCGAAGGATTATAAATCGTTCTACTATAAGGACACATGCACACGAATGTTCACTGCAGCACAGTTTACAATAGCAAAGACCTGGAACCAACCCAAATGCCCATCACTGATAGACTGGACAGGGAAAATGTGGCACATATACACCATGGAATATTACGCAGCCATCAAAAACGATGAGTTCGTGTCCTTTGTAGGGACATAGATGAACCTGGAAACCATTCTCAGCAGACTGACACAAGAACAGAAAATCAAACACTGCATGTTCTCACTCATAGGCGGGTGTTGAACAGTGAGAACACATGGACACAGGGAGGGGAGCACTACACACTGGGGTCTGTTGGGGGGAAACGGGAGGGACAGCAGGGGTTGGGGAGTTGGGGAGAGATAGCATGGGGAGAAATGCCAGATATAGGTGAAGGGGAGGAAGGCAGCAAATCACACTGCCGTGTGTGTACCCATGCAACTATCTTGCATGTTCTTCACATGTACCCCAAAACCTAAAATGCAATAATAAAAAAAAAAAGATTTAGGCGGTTTTATCATTAAGCTTTTTTGCTAATTCAACAAATACTAATTAAGTGTTTACTGTGTGCCAGATACTTTCTTTGGTGCTGGGATCACAGAAGGGGACCAAATAGACACATCCCTGGCTCCATGGAACTCCTAGTTGATCTGACAGGAAGGAGGATTCATGTCCTTTTGTTTATTCAGTGAAAAAAAAAAGTGTGTGTGTGTGTGTGTGTGTGTACTTTTTCTTTTTCTTTTTCTTTTTTTTTTTTTTTTTGAGACAGAGTCTTACTCTGTTGCTCAGGCTGGAGTGCAGTGGCACAGTCTTGGCTCACTGCAGCCTCTGCCTCCAGGGTTTAAGCACTTCTCCTGTCCAGATACTCACTGGAGTAGCTGGAATTACAGGTGTGCACCACCATGCCGGGCTAATTTTTGTATTTTTAACAGAGACGGTTCCACCATGTTGTTCAGGCTGGTCTTGAACTCCTGGCCTCAAGTGATCTGCCCTCCTTGGCCTCCCGAAGTGCTATGATTATAGTCATGAGCCACCATGCCCAGCCCATTCAGTGAATATTTATTGGCACCTACTTTGTGCCAAACACTATTCTAGTCTCCAGAAAGATAGCAATGAATGATGTGGTCAAAATCCTTGCTGTCATGGAGCTTACATTACTTATCAGAGGAGAATGCTATGTAGTTAAGTTCAAAGTGGGGGGAGGGGGAAGGGTTCCATAATAGTTTATACAACTGATGAATGTTTTTACCTTAAAAATATGGAAGAATATACCCAAATGAGTATGATTACTGATGGAGACAAAGGGTGAAGAAAGACTCACTTTT